TCGTCCCGAGTGGTTGCACTATTCTGTGGTTTGCTTTGTTCTTGAGTTTCCAGTCGGCATTTTTGTCAGGAAGGTCAGATTCCTCATAAACTCAGCATGTCAGAAACCTCCCGATACCCTCAAACTTTACCAAAATAGCAGTAGGGAAGCCGTAAATAATTGTGTGGGAATTCTTCACATCAGTCTGACCGTGATTCCAATCAGCTTGAGTCAACACTGCAGCTATGCATCGGAAGGGTTCAACAGTTTATTTATTAATACGTTCATTTGTAAGCTCGCTGGTGGAGACCATAACATACATTAGAAAATGCAAAAAGAATGCCGGATCAGTCTAGTATTGATAAATCAAGGAACTACATTGTCACAAAAACTCAAATTAAACTGCAGTAAGTATTCAATTGAAGTTCCTGTTGTTGTATTCACAGGACATTCTATAAACATTGCTCCTGCAACAAATACCGCTTCTTATCTTCCCAACTATCATTCCTAAAAGTGCGACCAAATGTCAAAGGAGAGTTTTGTGGAATGGGAAAACGGTTCCGATGGGGGTGCCCCCTCATTTAGGACTGTACCGGACATGGAATCGGGAACTTAATACGTGGTTGAAAGAAGTGACCTAGATGAAAATGCCCCAAGCATCACGTCACAGGTGAACCCGCCTGAACTTGATCTGGTATCTGCTTTTGTTCACAGTTCCTTTCAGCTCTTTGTAACATTCGTTAGAGCTGTGCACACCATCTTCGTGAGTTGCTTCATTTTCTCGTTTTTCGCTGACTGCTCCTGAAATCACGCCAGAGAGATCTAATTATAGAAGTTTCTTTTTGCTATCCGTAAAAGCATCGACCAACAGACAGAGCAGCGAGGGGGTAGTGCGGCAAATTTATGACCTGAAAGACCAACATGTGAGATTCAGCTGGCCTTGCAATTCATCACCCAAGTCCCAACGTGAGTGTGCGCCGCTGCTTTTGAGTAGGCCAACAGCATTCTATGGTAGTCATCGCAAAACCACTATCAGCCTCAATACCGTTTACCGCATCCGAATGTTCAGATCGGTGACTTGCTGGTAAGTGCAAGGGTTGTACGCTTGAGGCGTTCCGGTTATGTGTGGGCTATGGCGCGGCGACTGTCTGAGACGGCTCCGCCCTGTATGGCAGCGCTTTGATCACATGATCAGACTGTCCCACACACCGCATGGACCGACTGCCAGCTGCGCCTCATACTGGTGAATCACGCACTGACAATCGATTCTATCTTGTACGCCAGTGATACAGTTGAGGGCTTGTTGACCTGGCGAATGAGAGTCAAGCCACAACCCCCTCGAGTATCTGTGCGCTGACCATTGTCAGCTCAGGTGCGAACCGAGCGGCGCAGTGATTGGTGCCTTGGCGAGGTCCAGTACCGTGCCGTACAATGCACTGTGGGGCAGTCGATTTCGAGCCATGTTGGGAACGGGCAGTAAGCACGAACTGAGTCGGCGTCGGAGCTTAGTCCTGGGATCTCGTTCATATAGCGCTACTATGAGTGAGTCGAAATTTCTCTAAAGTTGGTAGGACCGACTGTAGACGTAAGCACCTCGTTTTTCCCCTGCATGTCCTGAGTGGTTGGTTGTTTTGCCGTTTTCAGGCTACACGCACGAGCGCCTGGTTGTATAGGATGTTTTAATACTAGAGAACTAAGTTGTCCTTCTAGTACCTTTCTCTAGCTGATAATGCTCCTGGCCATGTCTGCCCGAACTGATTACTTGGAAAAATCCGGCCCGTTCTCAGTTTACTTGGTATTAGCTTCTGTTTTGATGGTTGGTGTGAGATTTGAGGGGGTGACCACCACCGATTCCTTGGGGTTGGGAACACTCGGGTTATGGGATCCGATTCGCTCTAGGATTTGCGTTTTTTACTGATAAATGCTAGGGTTCTTGTAATGTTACACAGAGACTTGTTGAGAGCGAAAGCGCTATCCAGTGTTTCTTAAGTTTGAGATAGCTCAGTGTTTAAGGCGCAAACTTACCGACTGGAAGACCAGTGTTTCGAACCCGAACTCAGCATCTAGACTGCTCCTGACCAGGCTTGGGCCGTCTAACCAAAACTCAGCCTGCATGCTTACTTCTAGTGGCAGAGCAGCCGTGCACCAAAAGGGGGTTACAGGTGAGAGATTATCATTAATTTTCATTATTCACTGTTTATTTGAGAGACGATACGAATTTAGCCCTGGCTGGATCAGTCAGATTAGATAATTTGCTGAATTTGAATGTCCCGGTTACAGGTCATCTGTAATTTTGTCTTTTCCACCTTTTAGGGTGTTTTTTTATCAAAACCATGTACCCACCACCTTATCTCTCTTGAATGTAACTTTCATTCACCGGTTTGTTCATCTTTCGGTCTGCCGGGCTTATCCCATTGTCCACACGACGCCGGTGGGTGCCGCGAGATGATTAGTAATTTGTTTGACCACAATTCAACATCGTGCGAATGCACAGAATTGACACTGCGATCGAGTTGGGTGATCATAACTGACGAAACAACGTGTAGGCTGCAAGTTGCTGTGGCAATGTGCTATCTACTATACTCAAACTTCATATGGACTTCGAGAGCCACCGTGATTAGCAGATGACTCATCTTTGAAACATACACTAGGCACGTTAGCTTTGCGTGCATTACACAGGCGGCTGATATTTTCCTCCATGAAAGTCGCAATCTCAGAAGCGAAATTTTAAGGAATGATATATTTTCATGCCTGTCGGCGATCAACTCATTCATTTGTTTTAGCCCCCAGTGCGCTTGGGCTAAAATCCTACTAATTAAATACGAATTTAGACAGGTTTGGTCATCTTTGTGATGAGATTTACAGGTAGGTAAACCAAGCAAGGCTTTAAAATTGGCAATATCCGATGTTTTTGTAGTACAAGCCAGCATTTCCATTTTCCAATAAACTGAGACATTGGTAATCATCCAAATCGCTATTCTATTACAATGATTTCTCATGAAATATTCGGAAATTGTCCTTACAGGAGTGAAATTTTTCCTGATCCAGATTCGGTTGTTTGATTGGGAATATGCTTAAAAAGCCCACCGATATATTCAGCATTGTTCACTTGATCGTTCCCAAACTTCAGAAATCTTGTCCCATATACTTTGTTCCGAGTCACTTCGCCATACCTAATTAGAAAGGAGCCAATTGACGCTGATTAATGCCGCGATGGAAAATCGAACCGATTTACCTCACTTTTTCAGGATCTTAAAACATCCGTGGGTTGAACCTGTACAATTGTACTAGCCTACACCTCCGAAGGTCACATGTGTTGCCACAGTGTGCACACGGTACTGGAAGCATTTTGTTGTTTGGTCCTCTGAGCCATGTCTGCTGACTAGTGTTGACCTTTATTCAGACCGGCGGCGGTGATGAACAGAGACCACAATGTTTGGAGTTGCATCCGAATAATACGAAAGAGCTGTTCCTCTGTGTTTACCGCTGTTTTCCTAAGGTAGCACTATGTTGTCAACACACTCAGCTCGGCTCTGAGTGGAGCTCACTACGAGTCACGAGTGGTCAAAACAGGCCTAGATCAGTTCAGTGTTTGTAGCAGGTTCTGAAGTTGTTATCGTGTCGATCGGAGCATCTGAATCATGGTCTATTCGGGCGGACCGTGTGGCTCACCAAAACAACAAGTGCTGAACATCATTCTCATAAGATGATAATTTGTCGGACGCTCTGTTGTGTAGGGTTCATCAATTAGGACCGAAGGTGAAGATTTCTTGCTTGATTGGTTTGGTGCGATTGAGTAAGTCTGTTTCTCGATACCCGTTTCCAAGTGAATCCCGCCTGCAATTGCTGGGGTTACACGCTCGCTTGTGGTTTACTGAGATGGTGTTGCTCATTCTCAGGCGATTTAGATGGTCAAACAGATCACAGTTTGGACAGTTCACAGGATGAAATGCATTGTACGACTGTTCTATCCTTACTTGGAATGCCGTTCGCTAATGGACGAAGAGTTCCCTTAAATCGGTGTGACGTATTTCGGAACCAAAGTTTCTAAAGTAAACAGTATTCGGTGGAATAGTGTTCTCCGATCGGAATAACTAACGAGTTGATTTCCTCCAGGAAGAGGTCAGAAGAACCGCACTACTACAATCCGCTCAGCTGAACAACGTAGCTGCAAACGTTTCCTCACCACTCGACATGAAATTACGGTATAGCGGTCTGTCAGTTTTCAAGACGCTGAAATGCGGCGCAACGCTACTCAACTGCATGTTCACGGTGTCATATCCCTCTGTGGCGGTTGCTTGGTTCAGCAAACACGCTGATAGTTGCATTCAGTGGTGAATGAGCTTTCCGGTCCTAAAGTCGATATCTCATGTAGGTGTAGAATCAGCTTGCCAAGGGGCGCTTCACATGGATGGTTTATTTTCAAAGATTGGAAGGTGTTGAAAAATATTTGATCGATTTGCGACTTCTGGTGGTTGAACTTATCCTCATACATTCTTTTAGAGGTGTCGAACCAGGCAGTGGGAGTTTGGTTCTTGTTGGTATCGACTTTAGCTTTGATATTCACTGGGGCATTAGGTACATGGAACCATTCTCAGTCTGACAACGCTTGCGCTGGCTCCACCAAATTCAACACACCTTCCACAAATACTCTCGAGACTGACGGTCCGATACTATTCTATCTACCTCACGCTACAGCCCCGGTACTCTTACTACTCAGTGGACATTCGATTTACTATGGCAAAGTGGTCATTGGGTGTCTAGGTGAGGAGTGCACATTCGCAACTTTTTGTTTGGTCGCCTCTGTGCTGAGTGATTAGGAATGGGTTATTCAATCGGTCCTGCTGATTCAGATTGAGTTATTTTATTTCGACCATTGCTCAACGCATGTATCGCTTAGCTGTGCACAAATCAGAGGTTATGGCGGATACTCCTCAAGCAGAGCAAGTTCATATTTGGTGCATACTTGCTTCCTCGCTGCCCATAACTTTTCTTCATAAACGTTTTTCTCTCCAATACAGATAAGAAGCCCCTTGTTCCGTCCGCGACCTCTACTGTATCTAAAAACACAGGAAAAACCATTCGACAGGTTTTGGACTGGCAGAGCACGTAAGATTTTCGATAGTTATACGTCCATCAACCGTAACTATATTTTGAACTCCAACAATTGTGACTGCCGAGTGATTTGGCCATCAGAAAACCTGTTTCGTAATAAGGCGTTTGGTAATGTTGATCGAGCGATATAACGCCTCACCTTGTTGTATTATTATGTTTAATGAAAAAAAACTTGCCGCCTGGACCTTTTACCGGATGCCACGCCTGTTGTGCTCCCTGCAGAGTATTCAAGATGAAGCAGAAACCTTCTCCGGAGCAATATGGCCCAAATGGTTAGAGCGCGCATTTACCGGCCGGAAGGTCCGCGGTTCGAACCCAACATCTTGCACTCGACTTCCCCTGTCTAGGCTTGGGCAACCTGGAAGTATCCCAGCCCTCGTGCTTCCTCCGGGTGGCATGGCAGCTAGGCACCAAAAGGGTGTTACAGCTGAATGTCTTTTTTTAGAATCTTTCTCCCACAAATTGATCGTAATATGGATGGATGTCTTCCGGTCCGCTCTAACCACTGAGCCATCTCGACTACTTGGGAAAGGACATCATAAACTAGAGATTCAGCCGGATTCAGTTGATTCTTCCGTTCAAACCAAATTAGTGTACAAATGAGAGCATATGGGAACCGCTGAAGAGCATTTCATCCTGGATGGACTGAGTCGATGTGTCGGAAGGAGTAGAGTGGTGTGGAATATCTGATTTAAACGAGTTCACGGTCCTACTTTCATACGTGGGCTAACTCAAACGTCCATTTTGATATTTAATCGGGCGTGGTAAAATAGCACTGTACCGCACTGCACCGCTTTGCTGCAAAACGATGCATCGAAAAAGTTTGCATCCTGATTGCTCAGTTCTGGTAGAACCGGTTATCACTTTATGGATCACGCCTAAAAAAACGAATAGAGTTTCCGATGACGTAGTCAAAGGTAAAGCTAACTCTTTTCGCTGAAATTTTCCCTGGTTTTACCGTACAATTGACGAACGTTCCGAAAGATAGTCGTGGAATGATCATCGGCCACTGCTGACGTATTCTGACCCGGTAGAAATTTGCTCGAATCCTCTATTTCCGGGATTAGTCCTCTTATCGCGGCCGATATTCTCTGGAATGCATACCACACTCAGGTCTTGGTATTGTGATATTCGAATTTTCCATCAATTCACTTTTCAAACAGTCGTATTTACTCCTCTAGTGTCCTATGCTCCGGAAACGCAAAGTCAAAGTGGACGTTTCTCTATGAAGTTGAAATTGCCCGTCAGCTTTATCAACTACTTGTGCGCTACTAAGACGATTTGATTCGACTAAGCCTTCGCGCATTCTGCAAGTAATGGGGAGCTGCTTAGGGAGGAAAGTCGCATGAACTCACTCTGGGGCTCGCCGTTCGCTCAACACATGGCATGAGCCGAATGATCAAAGGGTATGGGCATTGTATCCTGTCTAAGCGCACGTTTGAGCTTGAGGTAGCTCGGTGGCTAGGGCCGGAATGTCCATAGTTCGAACCTAACCTCTCCCTCTCGACTTCCCGTCTAGGCTTGGGCAACTTGGAAGTATCTCAGTCCTCATGCTTCCTTCAGGTGGCATGGCAGCTAGGTACAAAGCGCAGGTTTAATGACAGTACCACAGCCTTTAAATACTCAGACTTTTATCGGAGAAATCCAAACCATCTTCAGGGTCCCGATGCGCACACTGCCGAAGATTCCATACAGGGATGGAATAGCTGTGGTTTTTCAGCAGAGCCTGATCTCAACTGCAGTTTAATTTCCTGATTCGAGATTGTCCCTCTGTTATCTGTGACCCACGATCTCAGACAAGCTAAATTTCGTCCGACCGAGCGAAAAATCGAGGTCGAAAAATAACTTTGTTAAGTGAACTACACCGGGCTGTGTTTACTATTTTAAACATCTGTCGGTCAACCCTGCAACCCTTAATATCTGTTTATATTCTGCCGAATCCTTCACAGGATTGTGAAGCATTTGCGATGTCAGCATGTGCTCAGTACAACGCAACTGCTGGAATTGGCCAGCTTTTTGAACTACTTGGCATCCTGGTGTCAGCGTCTGGTCGAGACCAGTATCGAACTTTGCGTTTTCTGCAGGAATAATAACGCTCCGTTTGAGATGTATACAACGCACAAGGTAAGTAGTAGCGTGAACCATTTCGGTATTATTCTTGCGATGACCGGAAGGGATTCTTTGGTATTTCCACGGTCCTGATGCAATAGCATTTCAATCCCATAGTTACGCAACCGGGACATTTGAAAAAGTCCATCTATCTGGAAACAGCTAATTAAATTGGTCGTGGTAAGTAGTGCTTCAGCAGTACGATTTATGGGTTAGAATTCCCCAGCTTATTGGTCCATTCCACATCACCACTTATCATTACCAAGAATGCATTTCATAGATAAGTCTTGAAATCACTTGATATACTTGGCCCCGTAACTTTTGGTGTATTGGCAGTACCACACATCCGCTGTCGGTCTGACATGTAGCTGAGCTCTCGTCTTTATCCATGGACTTTTACTGGACTTCAAAGCTCCGATGGCCTTACCAGTTTTGATCCCTACATCAGTGTTTTCTAAAACACTTCAGGAACCTGGAAGCATTACCAGAACCAGGCCTATCTGAAGAGTGGTCATCTATTCCCTTGTTAGGTGATGTAACAAGGATTTTCAGTCATGCGTGTATCAGTGGGTTGATTATGAGTTCGCATGGTGCAACGTAATATTTAGCCGCGAAACCTGCTGGACGTGAACATTTGTCTAGTTGCTTTTCGCGCTCTACACAATGACTTTTCACACATTCAGTTGATTGTGTATCTTCGGGTAACTGCTGGTTCTATTTTGTAATGAGCATGAAAGTGAAATTGGCATACCAAACTTATACACTAATCTGCATATCAATTTGGTCTTCATGGGAAACTTACCTGGAAACTACTGGAGTCTCGTTTATGGTTTTTAGCTAAGTGTGCAACACAAGGCTGTCTCATGCTTCAGTTGGTATTATTTCGAGATATCGCGATACATTGTGTAGACGTAATATACTACTCATGAGGCTGCTGAACTCCTTGAACACTTGAGCACTAAAAAAAGTGCCCTGAGTCATCGTATAGTTTCCGCAATTTGTGAGGTCACCTTTTTATTCAATCTACTACGGTGGAGGAGATGCTAAACGAAGTATGTGAGAATAGCGAGTAACAAGTTGGGTTTGATGCTCTTCAGGTGGTTAAAAAATAATAATCGTCCAGCTGTAACTCCATTTTGGTGCCTGGGTGCCGCGCCACTCGAAGAAAGCACGAGGGCCGGGATACTTCCAGATTGCCCAAGCCCAGACAGGGAAAGTTAAGAGACAGAGGTCGGGTTCGAACCACGGGCCTTCCGGTCAGTAAATTCGCGCTCTAACCACTGAGTCATCCTGCTTCATCGAGTGGGTGGGGGGAAAGAAAACTGGAACTGCTGTAAATCGGGCCTATCATTGTGTTGTATTTGACTCATGCTTTTAAATTGTAACATGCCTGATTCCTGCAGAACGCAGCGTGTAACTTCTAAGCAACACGCGTTGACGACCTTATTTTAGCCCATTAGAGCTGTTTTATGCACCACCAGCATTTCACCGTGTTTCCTTAGACCTAAGGCACTCAATCAGTACACATTGCGTACGGTTGTCTTTCTACTGTGATGGCCATGTAATTTTACCGTTCCCGTGCTCTGCCAATCCTTTGCTGACGCCACTGTTTCTCAGGAACGAAACGATGGGTCATTGTGGTTTTTCACAATTTCTTTATGAATCTGTTCTCGGGTGATAGCTTATGCAAACTTACTTGACGCACAGTGGTCTACTTTGACGATGAGACCAGAACATTGTCTAGTAAGAGGTGATGTGGTGGGCTAGGGCGTTGGACAATCAGGTGAAGCATACTTTCGCTGTTAGTCGAAGTTGCACGTTGACAAACCGAGAAACGAAATGGCGACCTGGGTTCGCCGAAGTACGATCACATTCCGGCTTTAAATCCACGCTGTGTCCAAAAGATAGTCTACACAAAATTAGCACCTGTACTGTTCATCCGTGCGTAAATCACAAGAGTGTTTGGCTGTCATTACCATTTAACGTTTTACGTTTTCCTTAAGTCGAAACCAACTGTCGCTCATTAGGACTGGTTTTATGGAAGCCGATTGTAGTTCGGCTTACCTGCAACCAGGTACTATGATTTTGTGGGAAAAGGAAGGGGCCTGAATGCTCGTGCAGCTCTATTAGTTTTCTATCCGGGCTTGAGTGTGAAGTTCCCTGCGGTACACTGCGAATGGTGGTGATGACATTTATCCGGCAACTTGTATCAAAATCCAGGTTGGAAAGCGGCAAATACCTCCGGTGAAGAAGACAAGTCTCTTGAGGCTATCTTAACTCGGTTAGAAATGAGAAAACTTTGTATCTTGGGCAGTATCAAGATAATCAAGATTATCGTTCGGCTGTAACGCCCTTTGGGTGCCTAACTGCGATGCCACCCGAAGGTTGCAGTATCAAGATGGAAAATCTGATCAAAACCCAACAGAACGTTCTTTTAATAATGAGGTATCTTAGTGGGGCGAGATGGCTCAGTGGTTAGAGAGCGAATTTACTAACCGGAAGGTCCGTGGTTCAAACCTGCCTCTCGACTTCCCCTGATTAGGCTTAGGCAACCGGCAGTATCCCAGCCCTAGTGCTTCCTTTGGGTGGCATGGCAGCTAGGTACCGAAAGAGTGCTACAGCTGAACGATTGTCTTCGTTTTTTTATTCTCGAAGTATCCTAGTCAGAGATTAATTGTTTGTTAATTTTCCGGCTTATTTTGACACTAGCCACAAACATGTGGGTTACCAACATTTGTCTACTGGAAAATGCGTATGAGATATTTGGCAATTCGATATACGACAGTTAAGCATGATTGGTCTCGAAAATGGCTTTTGTGAAGAAGTTTTATTCCTTGACGTGCTTGTTGAAAAGGATCAGTTTATTTCTGTAAAAAGCGTGTAGAAGTTGCAGCATGATTATTTGGTTGTTTTGCAACGGAACTATTCCGAACATCCAGATTGAAGCAAGGTAGGAAATCCCTTTCCTTGCTCGGCGTCGCCCAAAGGGTGGTCTTTATGGGTGAGGAAACGGCTGTATTAACCAGCATTGGGATTATGTTTCTATTGAAAACTGAACTTCAGCCTTCTGCGATATTGATACTGATTTTCCGTGATCGCCTTTCAAGGTTGTTCGACTAACCGTAGTTTGTGCACGGTAATTTTGCCTGTTTTTCTGCTAGTTGGGACAGTAAAACTAAACTGTTCTAACATCCCTTCCCAACGATATGTATCATCCCATACTCTGAATTTCATTTAGGTAAAGGATAGTTTTGGTCGTGTTACCTGTCCAGTGCTTCGCCAGTTCACCTGTCCAGTATGTGGAAGCACGGGAGATCAAGCACATACGATTCGCTATTGCCCTTTGCTAAGCAGTGGAGCACCTCCTCGGGTTTCAGCTAACAGCAATTTTACGAATGCACAAAGATCTACGACAGCGATAAGCAACAGCGCAAGTCTAACGCATCATCAAACCACAACTGTCGGTCCGAGTAGCCAGCTGATTGAAGCCGGTCTTCTTCATCCGGAGGCATTCTCTTTCTGATCGGTTTTCACCTGTTTGTTTTTCACTATTTTCTAGAACCCACCCTCTTGAAATGCAGTGCATTCTCCGTTTCAATACTCACTTCTAATATGCAGTCATTGTAAGTAACTACCACTCATTGTACTTCTTTTTACTCATCGAAACTGTAAACATTGTTTCGTTATTGATTACTCCTCAATTTTACCCATTGTCGTGGCTTCATACGTCCCATCAGCACATTGTTTCTTGTCCGATAACCTGGGCAGTGCTTTTTTTGTTTACATATTTTATGATACCTTGCAAAATTGTACACGAAAAGATTGATTTTACCCATCCGGTTTACATCGCCGTTCTGTTCGTTGCTAGGCGCATGAACAAGGTTGGTGTGAGCAAGGTTAATTATCTCATGTTCCATATCAAGGCTTCACAGCAAACTCTAGAATTACCGTGTCCAGAATGTCGTGATATCTCGCCCATCGCATACACAGATGCTAATCCCAATCGGCTTAGGTTGCAACGATTTGAGCGAATGAAGATCGTTGTAGACAGATCTGACCCTCATTCGATTGGAATGATTTGGCCGATGGCTTCTCCGGCGACATGTTTGCATTAGGTGCGAAGTTCGGTCATCATTAGGCTACCACCACATGTTTAAAATGCGTGGGTCTGGTGAAGGCCAAAACAGGTAAGTCGTTGCCCCAAGGAATTCCACCAATTTTGCTTTTTAGTTTTTTTGATAGGATTTCAATGTTTGGGCACTCATCTTAGGAAGTCCAAGAGGTATGGTCAGTGAGTGTCCTTTTCCAGGAGCAAAGGCTAATGCGAACCGTTTTTTGCCCTTACTTCCAGTGACGTCAGTTCACTAGCATACTTACACATTAGTCAGCTTTCTTTAGGGTGATGGAATGTACGTTTTGAATTAGGTAGTACGCCAGGTGCGCTTTTGCACATTCGCAACTGCACAACGTCACAAACGCATTAGGCCTGTTTGGGAACTCGACTTCAAACACCGCCTGTTCTTATCCGGTTGAGTTCACCAGCATCCAGCGAGACATTCGAGCTCCGAATAGCCCAACCCATCAGCGACTGTTATTCATTCTGTAAGAATGAATAATATTTGATATTAAATTATATGTATGTACGTATGTATATACGGTGCATACTGTATTATGTAGCTTACGAACAAATGTTACATATGTTGTGTATAGTGTGTACACTACGTTGGATTTATGCATACTACCGTACTGAATATACTGATATAGCGGAGGTTCTCGATGATATGGACAGATCGCTATCGGCAACAAATGGCACTTATTTTCGATTCGGTAACGCGACCGTAAAATTTCATCAGCGGGGATCCTAGCAGCTGATGAGATTGGTGATTTGAATCGGCTGAATTCCTGGTGAACCTTGCAATTTGTTACCAGTGTTACCATCTGGTCATGTCGTAAGTTCGGCACAGTGGTTATCTTGCAGTCTTTTGAGAAGTCCATTTGTTGGTTACATCAGAGCATGTTGGCTACGAATGGTAGTTTGTTCTTTCTGGACAGAAGAATAGGATAGTGTACCGTATCAACTTGGTTTTCACCCGGGGCGAACTCGAACTACGTTCCACAAGAATTCCCAACCGCTCGCCGTGTTCAGACTTCATCCGCTCAAACACATCGTTTAGGTGTGATTGATTCTGCGATTATTCACCTGCCAGTGGTACGTCAACGCACATCTCAAATCACTGAGGCTGTAGGCGTTCTGACCTCCGAAAGGTTGGTCTATGTGCCAGGTATCCAAAAGGGAGCTGTACCCATTTGAAAATGTATCTACCGTACCTGGTCTTGCAAGCCAATGGTCGTTGGCCCATTGGAGTGACTGAAGCCAACAGGCAAGCTGGACACCATATTGAGCAGCTGACACATCACGGTTTTACAGATGAGCAGACCTAAGGTGAGACTGAACTGGTCATACACAACCGGTCGTCTTTTGCTAACCTGGACTTATGACGTAGAAGAGTGAAGCCGCTTCGAGAAACAGGCCCGATAGCCGGCTGAGGCAAAATCCATGCTGCATGCTCAATCTTGGACGGCCATAGAAGGTAAGAAAACCACTTTCAAGCAAGAAAAGGTTAGGAATCCTGCCCAAGGCATCATACCTCTGGGAATATTCCAGGGTTCGCAGTCGCGTGATGGATTAGTGGCGACTAAATTCGGGTAAAAAATGAAAAATGAATGAGATGGTTGTGATTCACGCTTATTTTTTCAAATCATTTGGAAATCTGAAGCCAAGTACAGTCTGCGTTGACTTTCATCCATTTCACTCATTGGTAATCCATCCTTATGTCTGCGCACCCAACTCAGTGTCTCCGTCAGAATGGACCCCTGGCCGGTCTGTTGGAGTACTTTTCTGCCTATGAGCACTTGATGAATCGAGTTTTAATCCCGTTTAGGCTGTCATACGTGTGACCAGTTTTTGACATGGAATACCATGCGAGACGAAAACCTCTCCTCTCGAATCTGCACTAAAAACGTTTGTAAAACGTCGGAATAATTGATTGTCCTACTTGGTGAATTAAGACAAACTTTTCGGTGAATGAGTAGTGCGCGAATTGATATAGAAACATCGGGCAAGATGGATTTTAGGTTACCATCCTCCAGATTTGCACCTACCTAATCTAAAAATAATAAACTAATACGATTAGATGGACAGGCTGCACTTATTCGGAACTCGATAAGTAACGAACCACACTACCCTTCTCGGGGGAGCAGATTCTGGGGATATCGAAACGTTTCCTCGCAGAAACATATGACCAGCAAGGACCGTATCGCAGGCTTATGGGATCAGGCTGGTGAAACTATACCGAGGTCCAGTATTTTAAGCAACATTTTCGTTATCCGGAGTAGGAGCATCAGATGGCTAGGACTTTTGTGTACCCATGTTCAAGACGCACTAACACGGTTGATAAGCCACTCTTCAACTCTATACCATAGAAATGAGTTTTGTGCTATGTCGCTAAGACTATGAACAGGAATCGTAAGGGAATATAATATATCACAGAGATTCTGATATAGCACTGTTTCATACAAAGTACTAGGGGATTCCAGCAGAGTGAGCATTAAAATCCGCATCAAGTTTTATGCGCCAAGAGTAACGGGAATGCCTAGACACCTTAAACATTTTGTAAAAATATGGCAGGATCTTTTATGTGAACGGTGTCACAGAAATTCGACATCCATGTATTATCTATTTCTGGGAAACGGGCCCAATATGTTGAAACTGCGTACGACCAGTTTGCTCCTCTCACCTAGTTCACCAGGAACTGGTGCTTTTCCCAGTTGGTGACTCACACTCAGTGTCGTAGGGGAATGCGACTGTGAACCTCTGGTCACAATCCATCCCCGTTACTCGCGGAATCCCAGCGATCTGGAATTTGCAATTTAGATGATCTCAATTGTCTTAGCTCGATGTAATTATCTTTTTCTCCAGTAAAACAAACTCAAGTATCTGGCCATATTCACTTTTATCTAGTTCTTAAAGGGTAGAAAGTTTCTGGCTGCTGAGTAGTGATACAGATATCATGTCAAGAAGTCGTTTGCCCATAAACCCTAGAGGTTTGAAAACTGATTACAATATATATCCTGATAAATTAGGTTTTGCCCAGAAGACAGCAAATGAAAGGCGTATCATCCTCGTAAAAAATCAATGGGCGGATCCAGTAGAGGCGATTATGAGAGTCAACGTCCATAAGAGATAAGCCTATTGGATGTATTCATTTGATCGTTCTAGCGTTCAAGATTATGAGATCAACGTCCATAAGAGATAAGCCTATTGGATGTATTCATTTGATCGTTCTAGCGTTCAGGAAGGCTGCATTCAAATTGTTTCGTCATAAAAAGAAAACTTTCTGAACTATATCACCAATATTTCAAGACCAGAATATCTGAGTTCAACGTAGCAATTGGAGTATTCCCACAAAGGGAAAATTTGTGGAGCGAGAGACTAGCCAATGACGTAAGAACTGTTACTGGCTGCGTACATGACACCCAAGTGGAAAGCTTGACCAAAAACCCCAAAGATGTCTGTTCTGATCAGCGAGGGACACTTTGTATTAGTGCTCCAAACTTGATAGCGTCGGTAGGCTAAGCCTCCCACTCATTTCAACGTTCATTCCACACACAGTATCTCACTGTGGGTCAACCACTAGTGCTGCATATCTCAGGTTATGAATAGTACTCAAACGAGCAAAGAACATTGGCAACTAATCCACACCATTGCATATCGTGGTGCCTGACAGTTGCAAAGGTGCAACCGCAGTCTCATATTTCCTATGAATCTGGAAAACGAACTGTTTGATCTTTATCAGAGTGTTGCCTGTGTCTATATCTGGTGACAAAACAATGTAGGCTCTATTCCAGTCCTCAGGTCAGTATACATGGGACTATTTAACTCTTTCCACAAGTAGCACATCTTTGACTCACATTACCTCCTATCCGGGGTTCTTTTTGAACAGAAGTTGGTAGGAGGCAGTAATGCGGTCGAAAGACCTGACTATTGTGGACAATGATCATGGCGTTGGAAGAACACTGTTTATCAGACGGTTCTCGTTACGTTCTCTGAGTGTTTCTTAAAGGAAACTCCATAGTGGGATTCTTTGGTTTAAGAGAATCGTTTCCTCAAAGAGGCTTGTTTATTAGGAGTTTACCTAATGATAGTTCAATTTACATGTGAGGAATGATGAACGCACTATCTACTGGTCGAGTTTGCGAGGTGGCGTTTTGAGGTGAGAATTTAGAGGTAAACGGAATGAAACTCTTCTAATCTCATCCCACTTCAAAACGTACAATCATCGCATTCGGACCATAGATTCCCCTATCCAAAAGATACTTTTTATGGGTTCGGTTTATCGCCATTGCTTCAAACGGTGATCTTCATGAACCACTACGCTGTTTGTTTCCACAACGTATTGATGACCTCACCCTGATGGATGGTAAAACGTCTACAACTAAAATGTCTTGCTCAGCAACCAAACTCACGACCGTTTATAGCATTGCTTTCATATCTGAGTTTAGGCTCAAATCAACTATCTGTCAGCTGTGATCCGAAACGGGGATGTACTGTATTGCAAATATGAAGGTACAGAAGCGCCAAACGAATCTGTAATGTGAGGCGAACGCAGTCATCATTGGAGAGAAGAATGCCAAAATGTGGGCAGGCATCCTACAGAACATGGTTGAACAAGGAACTTAACTTTGACCGGGTCACGTGTCACTTTTGACTGTAGATTACTACGTCACGCATGCTTTGGTTAGGATGGATTGTCCTCTACAGCATGGTCCCCCTATGACTTGATTATTAGTTGTTCACCGAACTTGACAGTTGGGTTGAAAACGCTTCGTCACCAAATGACGATGTCTCCTCGATTGGTTATAACTACTCGCCCTTCGTTAGCTCGGCCGCTTTCTTGTGAGTAACACAAGGAGTGATCTGTTCAAGAAAAAAACCCCAACACACAGAATGAGGAATCTGCGCACTGGACCTGATCTTTGGAATTACCATAGTTCAATATGGGGGCATTTGATAAGCACTTCATCAATCCAGTCTTTATTACGTTTTCCGTACTCAAAAAAAAGGATGTCCTATAAGATTACGATTCAGTACCACAAAACAGTCCGTACCTTTGAAAGTACCCCGGTGGAAAAGTTATGCTTTGTGTACACGGTCACCATGACAGCAAGTAAGGTCCCCAATGGTAATTGACGTCATTCCATTGACGCATTCTATTGGTGCGTATGAATATTTCCATATAAGATGCACACTCCGGACTCGCAATGACCATTTCAACCGGTGACATGTCACCGTCAAAAAGACACCAAAAATATACACTTCCTGAAGTTGTGGATGTTGTATTGTTCCGTCACCAGGCTTTAAAGAAACGGTCGAAATATCGGGCTCGTAACGCTTCACCTGAGCAGATACCTACCACGAGCACGGGGATGACAATTCACGAGAAAGCAGGTCCAAGGAAGGAAAAACGACGAAGTACGCGCAGATCATCATCAGCAGGTCAAGGCACTGAGGTGCGCACCATCAATTTTCGAGAGGTAGGAGAATTTGAAAAGGACGAAGTTCGAAAGGAAGTAAATGATGTCATTGCTGAAGTTGAGAGCGAGCTGGCCGGACAAACGGATAAGAAATCCAGTAGGCGGGCGGGTGTCGTTGACCTCGGTGGTTTGGAACTTCCATTGGAAGAAGGCGAACTCTCACGCGCAGAGCGGTGTTTCTTGCACGCAGCAGAAAGTGGAGATTTGGGAACGGTAAAGGAACTCCTCGACCGGACAGAGTTGCTGAACTTCAACCCAAATTGCACCGACGCATTGGGTCGAGACGCCTTACGGATTGTTATTGAAAACGAACATTTGGAACTATTGGATCTTCTGGTGCATAGTCCTTTGATTGATTTGAAAGACAGTCTACTTCATGCCATTAACGAAGACAATACAGCTGCAGTCGAAGTCATTTTGCAAGCACAAACGGAGCGAGCATGCAAGAAAAATTTGAAAGTACGTTGTTGTTGATTCTTTGACTTGTTTTATCTTTCCCAAAGGGGATTCTGACCCTTCAAAACCTACTTGAGTGAAACTAAGACTATTGCTTGTTCGCTAGTAAGAAAGTCATATTCGAAATTCTAGCTGATTTTACCCTGCATGATGGTGGTACAAATATACTGCCATCATTCTATCTGGGCTTTATGCCTTATTACGTAACGGCTCCTTTGTGGTTAAAAGTCTTAGAGGTTGTCCAGCGAAATATACCACTACAAAAGCTTTCCCTTGATGAATAGATTTTAGATACAAGGACGCCTGAAGCCATTTATCCGGACAGACTGACTGTCCTTGGTGTTATCGAAACAGTCAGGTGAGGGGTTATTCATCAAATAGATGGTAAAGGGACGCGTAAAGAGCGGAAGGCTGCATTCAAATTGTTCATACTTGTGATTTTTTGTCATAAAAAGAAAACTTTCTGAACTATATCACCAATATTTCAAGACCAGAATATCTGAGTTCAACGTAGCAATTGGAGTATTCCCACAAAGGGAAAATTTGTGGAGCGAGAGACTAGCCAATGACGTAAGAACTGTTACTGGCTGCGTACATGACACCCAAGTGGAAAGCTTGACCAAAAACCCCAAAGATGTCTGTTCTGATCAGCGAGGGACACTTTGTATTAGTGCTCCAAACTTGATAGCGTCGGTAGGCTAAGCCTCCCACTCATTTCAACGTTCATTCCACACACAGTATCTCACTGTGGGTCAACCACTAGTGCTGCATATCTCAGGTTATGAATAGTACTCAAACGAGCAAAGAACATTGGCAACTAATCCACACCATTGCATATCGTGGTGCCTGACAGTTGCAAAGGTGCAACCGCAGTCTCATATTTCCTATGAATCTGGAAAACGAACTGTTTGATCTTTATCAGAGTGTTGCCTGTGTCTATATCTGGTGACAAAACAATGTAGGCTCTATTCCAGTCCTCAGGTCAGTATACATGGGACTATTTAACTCTTTCCACAAGTAGCACATCTTTGACTCACATTACCTCCTATCCGGGGTTCTTTTTGAACAGAAGTTGGTAGGAGGCAGTAATGCGGTCGAAAGACCTGACTATTGTGGACAATGATCATGGCGTTGGAAGAACACTGTTTATCAGACGGTTCTCGTTACGTTCTCTGAGTGTTTCTTAAAGGAAACTCCATAGTGGGATTCTTTGGTTTAAGAGAATCGTTTCCTCAAAGAGGCTTGTTTATTAGGAGTTTACCTAATGATAGTTCAATTTACATGTGAGGAATGATGAACGCACTATCTACTGGTCGAGTTTGCGAGGTGGCGTTTTGAGGTGAGAATTTAGAGGTAAACGGAATGAAACTCTTCTAATCTCATCCCACTTCAAAACGTACAATCATCGCATTCGGACCATAGATTCCCCTATCCAAAAGATACTTTTTATGGGTTCAGTTTATCGCCATTGCTTCAAACGGTGATCTTCATGAACCACTACGCTGTTTGTTTCCACAACGTATTGATGACCTCACCCTGATGGATGGTAAAACGTCTACAACTAAAATGTCTTGCTCAGCAACCAAACTCACGACCGTTTATAGCATTGCTTTCATATCTGAGTTTAGGCTCAAATCAACTATCTGTCAGCTGTGATCCGAAACGGGGATGTACTGTATTGCAAATATGAAGGTACAGAAGCGCCAAACGAATCTGTAATGTGAGGCGAACGCAGTCATCATTGGAGAGAAGAATGCCAAAATGTGGGCAGGCATCCTACAGAACATGGTTGAACAAGGAACTTAACTTTGACCGGGTCACGTGTCACTTTTGACTGTAGATTACTACGTCACGCATGCTTTGGTTAGGATGGATTGTCCTCTACAGCATGGTCCCCCTATGACTTGATTATTAGTTGTTCACCGAACTTGACAGTTGGGTTGAAAACGCTTCGTCACCAAATGACGATGTCTCCTCGATTGGTTATAACTACTCGCCCTTCGTTAGCTCGGCCGCTTTCTTGTGAGTAACACAAGGAGTGATCTGTTCAAGAAAAAAACCCCAACACACAGAATGAGGAATCTGCGCACTGGACCTGATCTTTGGAATTACCATAGTTCAATATGGGGGCATTTGATAAGCACTTCATCAATCCAGTCTTTATTACGTTTTCCGTACTCAAAAAAAAGGATGTCCTATAAGTTTCCGTACTAAAAGGATGTCCTATAAGATTACGATTCAGTACCACAAAACAGTCCGTACCTTTGAAAGTACCCCGGTGGAAAAGTTATGCTTTGTGTACACGGTCACCATGACAGCAAGTAAGGTCCCCAATGGTAATTGACGTCATTCCATTGACGCATTCTATTGGTGCGTATGAATATTTCCATATAAGATGCACACTCCGGACTCGCAATGACCATTTCAACCGGTGACATGTCACCGTCAAAAAGACACCAAAAATATACACTTCCTGAAGTTGTGGATGTTGTATTGTTCCGTCACCAGGCTTTAAAGAAACGGTCGAAATATCGGGCTCGTAACGCTTCACCTGAGCAGATACCTACCACGAGCACGGGGATGACAATTCACGAGAAAGCAGGTCCAAGGAAGGAAAAACGACGAAGTACGCGCAGATCATCATCAGCAGGTCAAGGCACTGAGGTGCGCACCATCAATTTTCGAGAGGTAGGAGAATTTGAAAAGGACGAAGTTCGAAAGGAAGTAAATGATGTCATTGCTGAAGTTGAGAGCGAGCTGGCCGGACAAACGGATAAGAAATCCAGTAGGCGGGCGGGTGTCGTTGACCTCGGTGGTTTGGAACTTCCATTGGAAGAAGGCGAACTCTCACGCGCAGAGCGGTGTTTCTTGCACGCAGCAGAAAGTGGAGATTTGGGAACGGTAAAGGAACTCCTCGACCGGACAGAGTTGCTGAACTTCAACCCAAATTGCACCGACGCATTGGGTCGAGACGCCTTACGGATTGTTATTGAAAACGAACATTTGGAACTATTGGATCTTCTGGTGCATAGTCCTTTGATTGATTTGAAAGACAGTCTACTTCATGCCATTAACGAAGACAATACAGCTGCAGTCGAAGTCATTTTGCAAGCACAAACGGAGCGAGCATGCAAGAAAAATTTGAAAGTACGTTGTTGTTGATTCTTTGACTTGTTTTATCTTTCCCAAAGGGGATTCTGACCCTTCAAAACCTACTTGAGTGAAACTAAGACTATTGCTTGTTCGCTAGTAAGAAAGTCATATTCGAAATTCTAGCTGATTTTACCCTGCATGATGGTGGTACAAATATACTGCCATCATTCTATCTGGGCTTTATGCCTTATTACGTAACGGCTCCTTTGTGGTTAAAAGTCTTAGAGGTTGTCCAGCGAAATATACCACTACAAAAGCTTTCCCTTGATGAATAGATTTTAGATACAAGGACGCCTGAAGCCATTTATCCGGACAGACTGACTGTCCTTGGTGTTATCGAAACAGTCAGGTGAGGGGTTATTCATCAAATAGATGGTAAAGGGACGCGTAAAGAGCAAATACTGTTGTCCCGTCTGGGTGTGAAACGTAGTACATATGCCCAATATACATCTACGCACATACGACATTCCTCTACCAAAAGATCCCTCATGTCTTTGATCTAAGTCAGTGAACTTTGCCATTCCGTCCGAAAGGAATCGAGGAGCTTGGTCATTTCCGCCCTACTGCCTCTCAATAGAGTCCAGAAGTCGGGAAATGAAAACACCAGTTGGTATGGTGATTAACTTTTATTCAGTGGTGGTGAGCCAATGTGTTCAAACACTGATTCTAGCTCTATTTGTTACAACTGGTGCGCCTTCCTGGTACTGACTGATGAGCCTGACGAACGCGCCAGTTGTACAAATTAGTGGCCCGGTGGTGTGTGTGCGTGTGATCTACACTATTCGCCAAAAGTAATGCACACAACTTACGGGGGAACGTTGGTTGCTCTTCCCTATGAAACTGGAATGTAGAGCTAATTGTTTACTTCCCCTGACTATGCTGTTATTCACAAACTGATGTGGACCACTTCTCAAAGGAATACATGTGAACGTGGGCCTCACGTTCACATTTGAACATACATTCTTTCGTTTGCTTGGTTTAGTCGCTGTAGGCCTCCTGAAACCGCGTCATGCCAGCCAATAATTTTAACCTATGAGTCTTAGGAACGCTGGTTGCTACTTTTCCCTTTTCCCTCATGCTGACCAATCACACTTCACCATTCAAGAACATATCGTGGTTAGGTGCCAAACCAACTATGCGGATTCAAGAAACGGTCACATGTTACCAAGCCTGCGTACCTTATTACCGTATCTTCTGAGGAGGTCAATCAATTTGCCCAGGTGTCCGAACTCAGTTTGTACCAATTCTCAGAGGATTACTGTATATGGTTTGTATGTTCGAAGACACAGGTAGACATATTTTGTTTTATACTTTGTCTTGCTACATAAACTCAAATGGGATGCATAACTGAGAACCTTGATTGGAACTGTCGATTGAGGCACATGATGGACTCACTTTACTTTTCTTAAGCCTTGTTATTTAATAATAACTATCGGGTTGTCGTTGTAGACCATACATAGGTTGGGTAGCACAAATACGACATCAGTATTGATTGACTTCCAAGTATGTATATTGGACTCTCTTCCGTTGTAACCAATGAGTGAAAGGAGTAGATAGTTGTGGTCTCTGCGAAGTGGGCCTCCAACGCAGGAACTACCTCCTAATAAGGACAACTCTGCCTGTTGGAGGGAGGTAGTATGCTGAGGGACGTCACATTTAGTAGATGAAACATTTTATAAGCCAAGCGTGTTTGCTAGCAGATTTAATTTCGAACATTTGTGGCTTATGAATCCTGACTGTACCTGGACGTACCAACGAAAAAAAACGCACTCAATTTCTGAATGGGGTGAATTTTACCCTGCTGAGTGTTAAACAGCCCTGACTGCGACGGACTAGAGTGTTATCCTTATGGTTAGCTGAGCAACAGATGGACATTTAGAAGGAGGTGACGATTGGATTGTATTTCAGACGGCCCCAATTAGGAAAATGTGAAGTCAAGCAGACACGATAGCTTTCTCCATTTGCATTACACAACTGGGGATCTGGTTGTTCCCTCGAATTAGGAAGATCCTCCTCAATGGTGGTCATGATGACCAGGTCTCGAGCTTGAACAGCGGGGACAGTTGGGCGTGCGACTGGATTTGACTGCCAGAAACAACATTGACCTTCCCAACGACGTTGACGTCTAACCAGGGGAAATGGCTATATCATGACACACCTAGGCTGATAAGAAAGAGTGACTGATACTCATCCCTTATAAAATGTATTTTCTCCTTATCATTCAAGGTTCAGCTGGAGCACTAACTGCAAAGGCACATAGTGGTCCATTGCCAATATAATAGCTCTTTCGGCTATCAACAGATTTGAGCATTCCAAACCCAAGCCATACTTTAAGTGTGGAGCCCAAACGAAAACAGTATATTGACTTTTTCCACGAAAACACCCTTGCCTGTCAACACGTTATTCGGTAGACTGTTAACCTCTCATGCAGTGATATTTCGCTACTTAGAAGTAGTTGATGGGATTCCCAGTCCTGCAGCTGCAGCGTATGCAGAGACTCCTTTGTGAGGGATGCGCACCGGATGACCCAAATGTCCTTCTTCAGGGGCTTTAGGCTTGTTCGAATTCCAATACCAATGAATGGGTTTATCTTACGCACACTAAAGTGGATGGGGTGCGATATGAAAAATAAATTTTTGATTTTCAACTAGTCAAACAGGTACGTTCGATATCTTGGTTACTATGTTCGTGGACATATTTATGTCGCATTGCCCGATAGCTTCATCGAGTATGGAAGACAGTGTTCCAAAACGTCCTGTTGTCTTTTAGCACAATGCATGTGCTCAGTGTCCTTCACTGAACTACATCGTTTTCGTCCATATTGTACACATCACGAATTGTAAGGTTCGGATGGATGAATCTCGGGTGTCCACTTATTGATCTGTTTGCTAGGAGAACATCTCATGCGTCGCATATATTAACATTTGTCAGCAGATGGAACAATGTGATTCGGATCCTACAAACAAGCTAGTGATGTTTGTGAGCTTGAGTCATCCCAATTAAATCCCCGATTACGCTGCTCTGTATCTTAAAAGTATTTCAAAGATTGTAGCATTCTTGTCATGGACGTAAATGCGTAGCCTCCCCATCGCAGACACCGTTTTTTGCTATCAAGCTTCAGTTTTTCAGATTTGTGTGATTTCATTCTCCATTGCCGGCAACTTGCTGATCCGAGGTTACTTTGCAATATCCAATGCTGGCGCATCACTTTTTTTCATTCAAATCGATGAGCACCAAAAAAAGGGACGGATATGTCTCAGTGTTTCGTTTGTCGCAACCCTTTTTCCTAATGACTGGTCCAGCTGACAATGGAGGTCACCCCAGTCAATGCAGTCACTGCTTTTTACGTTATGGATTAGTTCAGTCGCCTCACGGCTATCTTACAAGACAGGCCTCCAAAACCCGGGCGGACAGTGTGCAGTTCAGCTCCCGAATAACAAGCCACTGTACCTGCCTAGAAAAGAATTTACACGTTTGATCTGGTCTGAAAACACAAAAAATCAAGTAAATGTTTCAACTGACGATTCTGAGAGAAAGCATGGAATGTAATGTGGAGTATTCGTGAAATTACACATGAAATCGCTCACTGTGCAGATGAACATGTGGAGCAAGGATCATATTCAGTTTTCACAGGACGCCAGTGAGCGGTCCAAAACTAAACCCATCTACTATAAAGCTGTGACTAGTAGAGCATGACGAGATGCTGCAGACTGCTCACCACGAGGTAACGAAGCGGACACACTAGAGCAGCGACTAAAACTTATCAGGCTCAGGGGGTTGGGACATATCCTACGAATACCAAAACACCGCCTGTCAAAGAATGAGCTTTTTTCACTTCGAACCCACTCCTGGGAAAAATAAATGGGAACAACTACAGTCAAGCTGGGTTCTGTGATATCCTCAAACCTTCCTGGTCAGACTCCATCTTAAAAGGTCTAGCGCTTAACTGATATGAGTAACGTTCATAATGTTACTCTGTTCGCACAGCCTAGAAGAAGCTCTCAAGATGTTGTATGCTGTGTTCTTGTTGGCTGAGGTTCTCAGATGAAGTTTGGCCGGTTCCAATGGAAGTGTCTTGCTTCGACGCTCAGAATTGTTTCTCTGGTTGTTTTTCCCAGATGCAGACCCCTGCTTCTTGATCGTTTCATCTAAGGATATGGAGCCTTTTTAACCGTCTTGCCCGTACCTGCTACCGATGTAATAATCTTGACGATGATTTTGACTGTTGAGTCAGCCTGTCCATGTCTGGATGGCTGATGTAATGAGGTTGTTTCGTGTCTCATGACCGCCTGAAAACTCGCATATCTGGATATGCAACTGGTTGTGTGCTCTATTCTTTGATTGGTTAGTCTTTTAAACATAATTCCCTACTCAACTCTAATGTGCCAGGACACCCAGCAGCCAGGCAGTCCCAACAGTACCAACACGCGTTTTCGCTCTCTCACTTTGGTGAAAATACCTCTATTGCAGGAAGGAATTCCTTAGCAGAGGCTGCATTGTTGCAGGCCTGTTGAAACCGTTCCACAGGGTGCAAAGGATCTGTCCGTTTCCCAAGACAAGCTGACCATGCAAAAACGTTTGAAGACATCTACTTGGTCGTACGGAGACTCAAACCAACCTCTCTGACAATGCAACAACGCAGCTGACAGCCAACCATTTGCATCAGCCTTGAAATCGGTTGATCTTGTTAGATGCTCATTGTTTAGTGTTTGGTGCTGTCCGATGAGATGATGTCCACTGTTAATGGAGAATTCGTCCTTTAAATGAAGCCACTTTACACCAAAAAGCCGAGATGTACTGTATAGCTGTTTTATCTTTATTAGGAATCATCAGCAGAGCGCACCTCGCGAAGCTTCATGGAGAGTCTCGAATTCACGACCTTTCGGTTAGTAGTTTGAACACTTAGCCAGTTACTAGCATCTTTTTAGTGAGACGTACCCTGCTGATGAATATCGATAAGGATGACACAACTGAACTGCTTTCCGGCCTATCAGCATAGACTGGTTTCACTGGTTTCTCAATTAAATTACCCAAACCAACCCACAATACTGAGATCCATTTGTTTTGGTTGCTCCGCCATACTATATGTGCTAGCTTGGAAACTCTCCTGATGGAAAAAAACTCTTAGCATGCGTGATGCCTAGCCTAGCGCAAGCCACATACGTCGCTTTTTTGGTGGACATAGCTGATGCTGGATCGAGGGCGGCTAATTGTGCGTCGGCGTGTGGATCAATTTATGCAGGAGAAATGTCGTCATGAGGGATACAAATTCATGCCACGCAGATAACACACAGAACATGCTTTGTCTATGTGGAGTACTCAGTGATTAGACTGCGACATGGTTTCATGTAAATTTATGTAAATATATCCGAGTGGTCAATTCACGTGACTTAGAAGAACCCATTTTAAGGAAAGTCCAACATGTATGCTCAAGCTTACGACTTAGTGATACGTCTCGAACTCGGATGGTGCCAAAGCTTCCCAAGCCTTACCCGCATGTGACCTGCACGATGCATGCAGGATGCACTGGCCGATAAGTCCATGATAGCCCATGGACAGTTCAGTGGGATGTTATCGAACTTGATGAAAGACGAATCAGGTAATAAACTGGCTATTCAGATTGTCGGATCAAAACTTCGACGACAATACCACCTACTCATAGTCCAGTCTTTTGCAAGGTGTCACAAAGGCACTCTGCTTGTGGGCTATGTTGTATCAGGCAGTGGTTCTGCTGAATGTCATTATACCACTAGAAAAGTTGTTGCTCAATCTGTCAAGTGGGGAATTCCATCGGAATACAGTTATGTTACTTTATTTGGTTCCCATCCTGACGTGCTTTATAACTAACTGAGGTTGATGAAGTTGTAAATGTTGAACACACGGAGGATGGTAGCTTAATCTTGCTTGCTGGCCGAGTAAAAATCGCTCACAAATATAAATATGGTGATATGACTTGATGGGAAAGATTCACAAGACCGACTAGCCTTATTTTTTCGTGCTCATAATTCTCCATAGAGTGTATCTAATCTATATTGATGTGGCAACGTTCATAAGGTTGACCAGAGCTCTTGGACAGTTCACTTCCAGGCTCACCCTTTTTGGAGCTCATCAGGTAGATCTATCCATACTTGTTTCGAAATTAACTCTGAATTGGGCTATGTGCAGGCAGATATTCATTTGCAAACTAACACTAAAATTTCTGGACTGTTTCCGGGATCATGGAACACTGGAACTTTTTTTCCTGCTTGAAGTTTTCATGACTTTATAGCCACTCTAGTTTGGAACATTCACTCCAAATCACATGTCACTCTGTTACAAGGTTTATGGGCTTTTTCCAAGCCCTGACATGGGCCTAGCAGGCAGGCTACCGAAGCCCCAAGCCAGCCCTGCTTTGGTTGGTTGATTCTACGGACGCCTGCTCGCGGTCACCTAAGCGACCGGATTACTCCTGCGCTCGTACTAACCATTTGAAAGGTTACGAGGGCGAGCGCATGAATCGATCGACTCAGTCTGTTCGCCTGACCACGTCGCCTACTGTGTGAGTCACCGACGTTAGGCTTTTGAGGTGAGGGCCTTAGTTTGACCTGAGTGTATTCGGCTGTGGCCTTTGTGAAGGAAGGAAAGGAAACAGGAAGCGTCTCAGACAGCGGTTCGCGGCATGTGCTAACAACAGGTGTAGAACCGTAGAATACGGTAAGATTTTTTGACAGCCACAACGATTTGTTCCTTTGAGCAAACAAAATCCCAACATTGCTAAGGGTCGGGTAGCCCTGGAAACAGATTTTCGAATCCTAGGTCGAAGCGAACTTATGCCAAAGGTATGCGCTTATCTCACGGCCTAGGAAAACGAACGATCAGTTGTCGTTCTTGAGCGAAAGACGTACGGGCGGCTGTGTGAATGGGTCTCCAAATATAAGTTATAATGTCACTTAACCAATCTTGGACTGATTCGCAACTTAAGGGAGAAAAACAACGGGAGCAGCTCGCAAAACCGTAAGAAATCCCACAGGAATCCCACTGATAAACGTCTATTATTGCCTTATCAAACTAGAAACATCAAAATATCACTTGTTATTGGATCTTTGTAACATTCGGTCAGCGCAGACGGGAGCCATTAGACAGCAGAGGGAGGCGTCGGATACCATGTCTAGCTTTCTCCACCGCGAAAGGTCTGCATTCCGTGCATCAGGACAATTTCGAAATTTTCGTCCAGGCTGTCGATGGAATTCTGACAGATGAGTCAATTCATGTCATTCTGGGATGATAGTTTTGCGCAAATTGAAATGAGCACATGGAAAAAGATTAAGTTTTGGCTTTTTGATTTACAAGCCCTTCTTGACGTGGAGCTTGAAACTTGATGGCACGTGTGGAGAATGGTTGTGCAAGCGATGGTCTGTTTTCAACTTTCGAAGTGGCTCGTACAAAAACTTCATTGTAGTTTTGGTCGACTTTGTTAGGACCCACGCTTTATGGAGCGGCCCGCGCAGACAAAAGTGTGCACATACTCGGTTAAAACTATTCATGTGCGTTCAGAAACAGTTTGATTTTCTCATATACGTTTTTTCAGGAGGTATGCTGCATCTGGTGAAACTAACCAGGTAAGAATAGTCAGCACACTTTTGCCGAGTGAATAGTGCGTATGGTACTGATGGTCCACCATTAGTTGATGATATAGTCTTGTGTGCTGAGTAGTGCTCAGTGTCGGGCACTCGACTGACACAACTTGTGTAGATGTGTAAGCTTGAAAAATTTCAAGGTTGATTTCAGCCTCTTGGATCCAACGTATGAATGGCATGAATACGAAGTTTACCCCTTGGATAACCGATATTATCAAGAGAACAGCGTATAGGCCGGTGGGACCAACTGTTAGTCGGTGTTGGAATGGCGCTCCCCAGTAATACTTGGTCAGATGTCGGTGTTCCCATTCCCCAGGCTTCGTTGTTGACTAAAGTTCACTGGGACTTCAGAGTTGATACGATGTCTAGCTGGTTACTTTACTACGGTCTATTCAGGTGATTTCCATCGTTCATGAACAGTGTGGGTACCAGAACCAAGTGGTAGATAGCTCGCTTTAGAAAGGTGGATTTGCGATCAAGTGTTCTGTCCTCCTAATGGAACTCACCACACTGGATGTTAGGCAGGAAGTCCGTAGGATCAAGTTCTTAGAACAGTACACAACCCTTTAGCAATGCGAAAGACGAACCGAAACGTGCGTCCTCCTAATAAGTGTATTAAAACTGGTTTCCAGTTCAAAATCACTGTGCACTTCAATCCAATACTGTCTTGCACCTTTGCGCGCAAACTCAAGGTGGCTTTTCACATCTCATTCTCAATATTTCTGCAGGGTCTGCTTGGTCGAATTCAGTCTTCATCTTTTACACCTGACATCACGCCGATTATTTTGGCTGCTCATCGAGATAATTACATGATTCTCAAGCTGCTACTCGACCGAGGAGATCGTATTCCCAAGCCACATGATCTTCGCTGTAGCTGCCACAACTGTGTTCAAGCCAGACGCACAGACGGTTTACAACACTCCAAACTGAGAATAAATGCCTTTCGTGCACTCACTAGCCCGTCCTTTATTATACTCACGAGCAACGACCCAATACTGACGGCTTTCGAAATGAGCTATGAGCTTAGGCAGCTCGGAGAGCTGGAGAATGAATTCCGGGTGAGTTGAATATAGTTCAGTCTGGAAAGTCTGGTACACGGAATCTCCGTATAGTGTACGCACAAGGTTTCCAAGGGATCCGAAACAGACAGGCTAATTTGACTTTATTTTCTAAACCGTAGACCGACTATGAAGAACTCTCGGAGAAGTGTGAAACATTCGCCACGGAGCTTCTTGGTGAGACTAGGAGCTCCGTAGAGCTGAGTGTCATTCTAAATCACGATACCGGTTCTGGAGGCGCTGGAATGCACGTACTTGGACTGACTCGCCAGCAAGCAGATGATAGCGAAGAAGAGTATTTGCAGTTACCTCGTTTGAAGTTGGCTATCAAATACGAACAGAAGAAGGTGAGTGAAAAGAGGTATAGAAGTTTTGTGCTTTCTTAGTGAAATAGCCTAAGCTGCTCCTCGTCCTTGTGGATGCATTCTTGTGTCATTGAAAGGTTCAGGGAACTTATACTGTGAGGTTCTAAGCACTGTGTAATTGAAGTCTCCGTTATTTCAGCCTCTCCACCCTCTACTGACAGTTTCCCGTTTACCTTGAAGGTCAAATAGCCCAAGTTCTTAAGCGCAGCAAATGACGGTTAAATCTAATTCTGGTCGATTGGCAAAATGGCTCACTCATGAGGAACGACCTGGTCAGAAGATTAACGGGAAGCCCACACCCGATTTAACGCATTTTTTCCTCAGTCAAGAGTAACCAAGCACCTTTGGAAGACTGAAACAACATGCTCAGTAGCCTTTGCTAGAGAAACCTAAACCAAAGCTACAATCAATGAGAATGCCTCTAAGTAAAAGTAGGTAGCTAGCACCCAGCTAGCCAGCGCCGCATGAACAGTTGATATGTACGTCTGGGGACCAATATAAATTTTGCACCTACTTAGCTGTGAGCTATATGGTTCAGAAAAATACTTGACTCGCTCTGTGATCTCATGCATCATGATTACTGGCTTGCGTTTTGAGTGATCCTATTCACGGTACGACTGAGAGAGTTTCATGGATCGGCTGAAACTCAGGAGTTCATGGTTGAGTATACCCCAGTTGTTGAAGTTGTCCTTGCTCTTCATTACTGTTGGGAGGAAGTTCCCGTCGTATCCAATCGCATGACAATATAAACTGGTTGGAATTTGAGTGATCGAAGTTAGGTTGTATTCGTTAGCACTTAAATTGGGTCCGGGTTTTGAGCATGTAGTGCGCCTATTTGTGTAAGACAAGGCATTCTGCTTGTGACCGAAATCGCCAAATATTATACAAACAACTGCGGTTAGGAAAATGGAACTGAATTGTGTCTCTGGGCATTCACCTCACGAAGATTGTTTTACTTACGCTGTTCTACCGTCTGTTAGTCTGGCAGTCGTCTACCACAACTGACCTTGGTATAGTTTGCCTGGAATACTAAGGCTCACAGTTTCAACCCAGATATCGCGAGAATGGTAACATCATTCAAACTTCGAGAAATACACTCATTTGCAAATCAGTTTGGTTTTCACGAGAGACTCAACTGAATCTATCGTTTATGATGTGTGCTGCACACAGGCCATTTCATGTTTCAGTTGGCACAATATTCGAGATATCGCAGTATATATTCATAAAGGAAACTTCAGTTGAGTCTCTCATGAGAACCAAATTAAGTAGCAAATGAATGTATTTCTCGAAAACCGTTCAATTTGAGTTCAAATAGAACAAAAGGTTGACGGAAACTCGGGCCTGCGCCTACCTGATGAGCCCCAATACCGGTGAAACCGGTCGTGGGCTGTTGAAGAGTTTTCAGCAACCTTGTGAGTAGTTTCCCTTATGGTAACATTTAAATTTATTTTTCGTCATTCTTTTCCGATGCTTCATTCAACGGCAGCGCTCGGAAATGTGAGGCCAGCCTGAGAGCAATTCTGGTGTGGTGTTTCGCGATGAACGTGATAATCTGATTAATCAGTTTACTGGACACGCAGACGAACAACGACCAGTATGTTTAGCAGATACTCTCACTAGATAACGTGCATCGTGAAAGTTGGTTCGCAGCTATTATTGTATCGCCAAACTTTCTATCCATCCTTTGTTGCTTTGTACTTCAGTTCGTTGCGCATCCACACTGTCAACAACTGCTGGCCTCTATGTGGTACGATGGTCTTCCCGGCTTTCGACAGAAACCAATGCTGGCGCAATTAACCACTATGGGCACGCTATGTGCCATGTTTCCCGTCCTGGCTACGTGCTATATGTTGGCTCCTCGTTCAAAACCCGGTGGCCTCATGAAGAAACCTTTCATTAAATTTTTGTGTCATAGCAGTGCATATCTATCATTCTTAGGTAAGTGGAAAACATTGCATCACACTTTTTGGAAGAAACCAGGAAGCGTGGCTGTAGCATCAAGGAATGCCATGAACGCTGCAATAGAGGAAGCCACACAAGCGAATTCAAGTTCACCATAGCCATGCTACTCTTGTTTTTGAGAGATATTTGCTTCTGACAACGCAGTGATATCACGCGAGGGGTCTTCTGTTGGCCATAAATTTGGCGATTCGTGAAATAGAAAGCATGTAAAAGCAAGCAAATCCGTATTTAAACCAACCAGTTGGCAATGTGTGTGCAAGCTAACGATTAGTACGACATATCGGTTTACAAGCCGTACGTCCTTGGTACTTTGAGTAACAAAACTGGTCAAGACCTTTGTTGTGGGACCGTTTCTTTAGGATTCCAAAAAGCTGGAGGTTGAAAACATTTGACCGGAAATCCAAAGGCATTGAGTGGTCAGTGATGCGTATTGCGCCAGGCAGTTGAAGTCGGTTCTTACCATGCACGTCAAGCGCCTTGCACGAGTACACGTTAGACGACGGACCGTCGGTGTCCTCATTACTGGACATTGTCCTCCAGGCCTGGAAGATGAGCTTTGATTGCCGTTCGACGATGATGCTCATCCGACAGACGATGGGCATGGACAAAATCACTACACGCAAGTCGTGAAAGTTAGCCAATTTAGAGGTGACTGCGACAAGACTTTTTTTTATCACAGAAACAGACCTCATGTTTCAACTTCTTGAAGCAAGGTAAATGCGTTTTTGGGCTTGGACAATAGGCTGAAATTTTGAGACCATGCCTATCAAACAAGTTCCAAACGAAGCGAAGTATGAGCTAATCACAATACGCGGCTTTGTGATTGACATGAAGTTTTATAGAAACCAGAACGCCTGATTTGTAGCGGACCTTGAAACCAAACGTTCATCGGCTGACAGTTCAAAAATTTCGAATAATTGAATATCTTAGCTAGGAGCAGGAGTTGCTGACAAGCATGTCCCTGTGTTGAGCGTTTTATAAGTCGAGTGCAGGAAAAATGGGGAAAATAAAAAACCATTAATTAAGGCGGTTTCATGAATCAGTCCCATCTAGGTAAAATCCCACCTGGTCATATTTGATACAGTGGAAATTCGACCGGAAGCATGGGGTTGTAAGCGGAAATGAGTTCCACCAAGAAGGCGAGTTTGTTAACGAAGATCAAATACGAATCAAAGGTATTTGGAAAATCACTTTTTTGTATGTCTTTTTATCATTAAATGACGGTTATTATGGGGACATCGTTGGTTTAAGGAGGTTAATCTACCAGAGTAACATGCTGCGTTCGTAAAGAGGGATAAATCTAGGATGCACCCGTAGCTAGTTAACCGATCGAATTGATTTTCGTTGATGTCAGAAAAATGACATGCTTCTTAGTCAGAAAAAGCTATCAGGACCACCGCTCAAACTTGCCTTTGACAGAAGATATTCAACCACATTTTTATACAGCACCCGGCAGTGTTTTCTGTTTTTGTTCGATATACTTCGCAGCCAAATGTTTTTTTGCTTCTCTAGCGAACGTACGATGTTCAAAATTGCACACATTTCCACTTTTCAAAAGAAATTTCCGTTTTGTTCCAGGATTACTTTTACTGGCTGCCGTCCGAATCGAATCTCTGTTAACTAACACGATGGACGAAAGGATGAACGATCGTGCACCCTGGCCCTCACTTTCCGAAGCAGCACTGGTTGTCTACGTCTTAGGTGAGGATTGATTGGGGAAAGTAGTTTGCTTTCTTAGCGAGTGTATACTCATTTGTAAATTAGTTTGGTTTTTTCGAGAGACTCACCTGGAACCTAGCTGAATCTCCCGAAAAAACCAAATTGGTTTACAAATGAGAGTATATTCATTAATTTCATGCAATTTGGTTTCAAGTAGAACATAAGTTTGACGGAAACTCGGGAACTGCGCCTACCTGATCGGCTCCAAGAAAGGCGAAACCGGTCGTGGACTGTCGAGGGGTTTTCAGCAACCTTATGAGTAGTGCATTACAAAAATATATAGTTTACTGTCTATTTTCGTAGCCCACAGAGTAATTAGAAGGTGGTGGTTTTTTATCTTTGATAATTGTTATCTAGCTTGCCGTTAAATTCCTCTATGTATGTATGAGTTCTTGGAGCTAACAGTTTAGAATAGCGTCTTCACTTATCGTGTTCAAGGTATTAATTCAGCTTGCACACTGGTTACGGAGTGAGTTTTGAATACATAGCGGGGTTTTGTACTAATAAGACTTGGTAGTGTGTCCTGAATACTTAACTCTCTTGCATCAACAGGTTTCCTTTGGCAAGAAATCAAGAAGGTTTATACGTGGGGATTTCGAGCCTACATATCCGATATGTGGCATCTGTTGGACTTTATAATGATCTCCATGTATATATCGACAATTGCAATGCGAACGGTTGCAATAATACGAGTGAGTTCTTTTCACTCCAAAATGTTGACTCATAGTCACACACCTTTAGCAATAGAAGCTTTGTTTCTGTCCACCTTCAGCATGATGATATACCATATTTATCTTTCCGGGTAGATCAGTTAACTACTAGCTAATTTGTGGAACACGTACAAGATTAGCAAAAACAAATTCTTTAGTGTTCTACAAAGCTGCATCATTGTTGATTCTCAGTTTGTATAACGGCAATGGTCCAAATGCTTAATGGACCATTGAAGCGAACAGTCAGCTTCAAAAGCGAGATCTGTTAGTCCAGCAGGTCCACTGACCTGGGAGCTCATCAACTGAGGTGACAGTAAGAAAGAAGTATTTTAAAGCTTATTGAGTTTAGTCATACATTTCGCACAGCATCCATCACGAAGAGACTGGACCTTACCGTGGTCCAGCAGGCTGACCTGGGAGCTCATCAACTGAGGTGACAGTAAGAAAGAAGTATTTTAAAGCTTATTGAGTTTAGTCATACATTTCGCTCGCACTCCATCACGAAGAGACTGGACCTTACCGTGGTGTGACGGTTTGCAAACCTCAGCGATCCATTGAGCTATACTGGAGAGTGTCCCGCGACACTCACAGAGTCTCTCACACCAGGTTGGTCAATGGTTAGAGGTCTGACGAACACAGTCTCCTGGCCCTCCAGGTTGGAACATGTGGCGACTTGTTGGGTAGAAATGGCAATGCATTTGCATTTCCCGCCAAACACCGCTGCCTTGCG